ATCGACACGCTTGTGAGAACAAAAATAAATAATTTGAAGGCAATCCTGTGCGATGCAACCACAAAAGTCACATGGTGAGTCCCGCTCGTTTGTCTTTGGCTTAATTCAGCCAACTTACACTTACTTCCTTCATACTTTGCTCATTTACATGATTGAATACCCTTGTCTCAATTTCTTTCTCTTTGTCTTTACTTCTCCACATTTAATGTGACGATAAACACACATTTACGTTTAAGAAAATATTCGAAGACAAGGTAAACGGGGAGTGTATTTTAGAAATTTCAACTGAGTGCACGTATCTTGAGGTCCCAAATGTAATAACTTTCCTAAATGTAATAAAGTCCTAAATGTAATAACATTTGATCCTAAATGTAAGAAGCCTCCGATGCAATCCTTTGACTGCGCTACTGCATTGTTGTTATAGCAGACATCCGCATTGAGGTGTTAAAGTGACAGCTGTTGCACCAAAAAATCCTCTGACCAGTATTCATGTCACATTGCGTGCTCACTGATGTCAATCATCATCTTTTTACCTGCTAGACGCAAGTCGAGCAGCAGATCGTCATACTGACGGCATCAAATGACAGTTGGCAAAACTATGAGTACGCTGACCAATACCTCCTTATTCCACTGGCTCAGATTTTGAAAAAAATTGATGTACTTGTTATACTTGTGCGATCAGTGATGGAGGTACAAGGTACAAGTCATGATTGAGGTACAAGTCATGAACCAAATTACAAACTTAGACAAGGGAGTCTTCAGACTTGTAGATTGTATTTCATTTGGTGATAAATTCATCATGTAAATTACCTTTCCAATATTAAACTTTATTGATATCATTTTTTTTCTTGTACCAGTTATTTTTTATTAAATATTGTTGATAAGATCAAAGGCTTTTAAGAATTTCTCGATCGGATTTCTTGATATTTGAATTCGTGTTTCATCATTAATATTATAAATAACCTTTTCCACATGGCATTTTCTTTGATAGACTGATTTTCTTCGGACTTTATGCAGGTTTT